ATTATTCAAATATATGATTCATCTGACAGTTCAGATTCAGACACTACTTCTTTAAGTAGTGATACTTCTTTCATAGGAACAATACATAATGATGCATTCTATTGGTCAGATATTAGTTCTAGTACAGAAGACGATTACAATTTCTGATATTCATACATTAACAAAAGAAGACAATCTTATTTTAGATCTAATAGAGAAAATATCTGATCCTGATGAAAAAAGAGAAATAATTACTCAGTTTGTCAATTTAACTAAAACAAAAACAAAACATATGCCATTAGTTAAGCCACCTGATAATTATAACTTTTCTAATATCATGAAACGTATCAGTCAGCATGAAGCCTCACAAAAAAAACCTACCATTGCTGAACTCAAATCCGAAGTAAATATAGTTAAGACAGAAGTAACCCAATTAAAAAATAGAATTCAAATCCTTGAACTCCTTAATACCAAAACCTCTAAAATAGACACAGACACCGATATCATTGAATTTGACCACTTACTCAACTCATATCATCCCAATGATTATATAAATCAATGCGAATCTTCTACTAAGAAATCAGTAAATGTCTTGAATAGAGTAATCACACAAAAATGGTTTATCTTAATAACCATTGTCATAAATAATGAATATGAATTCCAATCTCTAGCTTTAGTTGATTCAGGTACTGATCTTAATTGCCTCAATGAAAGATTAGTACCTACAAAATATTTCGATAAAACTACTCAAATTCTTAATATAGCGGATGGAAGTAGACTATTTATTAAATATAAGTTATCTAATGCAAAAATTTGTAATGAGGGACATTGTTTTCCCACACCAGTCATTATGGTCAAGGGACTCAGCCAAGCTGTAAGCCTTGGCGTACCCTTTCTTACTTTGTTATATCCAATTACTATTTCCCATACAGGTATTGAAACAAATACTCATGGTACTTCTATTAGATTTGAATTTCTTGATAAACCAAAAATCAAAGAAATTAATACTGTCAAACAAAGTATTAAGCAAAAAGAAGATTTTATAGGATCATTACAGCTTGAAATCAAACATAAAATTCTTAGTGAAAAACTTCAAACTCATGATATAATACAAAAAATACGACAACTCAAAAATTTTATTGCAAAAGAGATATGTAATGAATTACCAAATGCTTTTTGGCATAGAAAACAACATATTGTTGGACTACCATATGAACCAAATTTTAGTGAAACAAAAATACCAACAAAAGCTAGACCTATTCAAATGAAAACAAAATTATTACAAACATGTCATCATGAAATAAAAGATTTACTCCAAAAGAAACTCGTACGTCCTAGTTCATCTCCCTGGAGCTGCTCTGCTTTTTATGTCAATAAAAATGCCGAACAAGAACGAGGAGTTCCACGATTAGTCATTAATTATAAACCTCTCAATAAAGTATTACAATGGATTAGATATCCTATTCCAAATAAAAAAGATCTACTCGATAGACTAGTACATGCAGTAATTTTCTCCAAATTTGATTTAAAATCTGGTTTTTGGCAAATCCAAATAAAAGAAGAAGACAAATATAAAACAGCATTTAATGTCCCTTTTGGACAATATAAATGGAATGTTATACCTTTTGGTCTGAAAAATGCTCCGTCTAAATTTCAAAAGATAATGAATGATATATTTAATCCCTTCTACAGATTCATGATAGTATATATTGATGACGTTCTAATATTTTCTGAATCTCTTGAACAACATTTTAAGCATCTTCATACCTTTATTCATACAGTTAAAAATGCTGGGTTAGTTGTTTCTACTAAAAAGTTAATACTTTTCCAAACAAAAATTAGATTTTTAGGACATAATATACATCAAGGGACAATTATCCAGATTGATAGATCCATTCTTTTTACTGATAAATTCCCTGACAAAATTTTAGACAAAACTGAATTACAGAGATTCTTAGAATGTCTAAATTATATAAGTGATTTTTACCAAAATCTAGCTCTTGACGCTAAACCTTTATGTGACCGCCTAAAAAAAAATCCTTCACCATGGACTGAGGTTCATACCTTGGTTGTACAATGACTTAAACTTAAAGCCAAAGAACTTCCATGGTTAACTTTATCTGATCCAACAGCTTTTAAATTAATTGAATGTGATGCTTCTGAATTAGGACTTGGTGGAATATTAAAACAATCCATTGACTCTAAAGAACAATTAATAAGATTTACTTCCAAAGCCTGGAATCCAACACAAAAAAATTATTCTACCGTCAAAAAAGAATTACTTGCCATTATTCACTGTGTTTGTAAATTTCAAACTGACATTTTAAATCAACATTTTCTTATTCGTACTTATTGTAAAGCCGCCAAAGACATTCTGCAAAAAGATGTTAAAAACCTTGTATCCAAATAAATCTTTGCCCGATGGCAAGTTATTTTATCTGCTTTTGATTTCTCTATTGAGCATCTTCACGGTTCTACTAATTCTTTACCTGACTTTCTCACCCGTGAATTTTTTGCAGGGGGGACCGCGCATACTCAACGCACCCTAAGGACGATACGATTTCATCCGACGGTTTTTCATCTTACGGTTTGCAACTTTTTATTGCCAATAAGAATAACAATATGAATAATCCTCAATCTTCAAATACCAAAAAAGGAAAACAACCTATGGACTTAGTACCAAGTAATATGTTTGGGCCCCTTATGCCCATTAACCCCTCTTTAAGTCTAACACCTATGTCACCTCTCAGATCCTCAAATATACCTGAATACTTGATTCAAACTCCTCTTCAAAGTTCAATACAAACTTCAAGTCCGGCGTTTTCCCCGACAACATACCCAAATAAGCAAACCTCTACTGCTGCCAAATCAGTCTATATAGACACAGCCCTCTTAACAGATATATCTATTTCTGATAATCATGCACAACTTGACCCAAATAAATTAGCTCCTCTATATCTTGTGAACCACCTAAATCCATCATACGGAGTCAAAACCCGTGAATGGTATGAAGCTATTCTTATGGAAACTGGTTCAGTTTCAATTGTTCATTTTTATCAAGGTACGACTAAAGTATATGCTTACTCCAAATTTCAAATTAAAAAATTCCTTTCTTATGATGATTGGGGATGCAATCCTCTTCAGGGAAAAAAGTTATTGAATCCAGAATTTCAATATAAATATTATAAATATTCTGAGTACATAGAAGCCTGGCATAAAGTATTCTTTTACTAGAATCTAAATAATACTCATTCCTGGTATTTACAATTTAAACTCCCTATTCTTGAAAGATTTCCAAGTTGGTTCCGCCATTGGTTTTTACTATGGGGATCACAGACTCAAATCTTACCAGATGCTTTTCAAGCCTTGCAGACAAAATTTGCACAACATAATACTTGTACCGACCTAAATGATTTTCATCTCTACTTCATGGCTATCTACCAAATACCCTGGATCCTAAAATGGGATTACTCTATTGTTGAAAATAATACTAATAATTATGAGTATATTCTCAAACTTGACAAAACCCTTAAAATCAAATGGTGGGATATTTTTAGTACTGACCCTGCCTCCTTACCCCTGAAACGAATACCTCCTCAAACCAACATTCTAAACCCACCAGCATATAATACAGTCAGTTTACCCACTTTCTCAGCCTATCTGAAGAAAATGAAACAAGCACACCTTAATGTTATCCTGGAAGAATTAGAGCAAAATCTTCTGAATATATTTGCTCCCGATACTAATGCACCAACTACATCTGAAGAAACTGTGCAATCCGGCAATCCCTTGTTTGACGACTTCAGCCAAAGACCCGATGCTTAGTCCGGCCCAATATGACTCACTATGACGTCTAGCCTCATAAAAGCAAGATGCCTCTACAGTTCGATGATAGGACCTCATCATCATAAAGCAGATGCCTCCACAGTTCGTTGATATGACTTCACCAGGATAAAGCAGATATCTCGACAGAAAGATTCCCTTCTTTATAAATTGATAATACGTATCCAATAGTAAAGATGCCCCTTTTTCCTGTTTAGATTGATGTGACTAATTTCGGGTCACATCACGCTCACACCTCGACCGACGTGTTTCTTTCTCTTTTTTCGTCGCTCGCACATGCCACTCCCACAGACACCAAAGATTCGCCATCACAATCCATCACTGTCACCGACGCTCGGCTATCCCCTGCACCTGTCACGTACCCCTCGTCAGTGGACACCTTATCCTTTCAGCACCACTGGAGTTGCTTCGTCACTACGCTATCCTCTCTCAGCCACAAGCATTCCTTCGTCGCTACACTATCCTCTCTCAGCCACAAGTACTCCTTCATCGTTCATCTATAAATATCCACTCTCTCAGATGAAGAAGGCAGACTGCATCAAGGACTCAATGAAGCATCATCAGCATACTCAAGCTCTCTTATACTCTCTCATATTCTTCTTCTTCTTCTCTTTTTCTGTAGACAGTAGGTTAGTCATCTACATTCATCTACATTCAGTCATTTGTACATCACCAAAGTCGGTAACTTCCATATGACTTCTTTATTTTAGAATGTGTATTGTAATCTATCTTCCTTACCTTCCTACTATCTTTCTGAGTGGAAAAAGTTTACAAGTCTCTGTATACGTAATTAGTAAGTTATGCAATTTAATTTGTCTTTACATTCAAAATCTGTGACTATACTTATATTTCTTGGATCATATTTGATATATCCTGGCTTTCTGTTTTAATTATTCTATTTGTGTTTCTATATTATGTTACTATTCTACAACAATTAATAGCTTATAACTCTGTAATCTTTTTATATTTAAGATAAGTAATGGTAACTACTAAGGGTAGATCTTGCGGCAAAAATGGTATCAGAGCCAACCCTGTTTTAGAGATCTAAAAGTTAATACTAGTTCTCCTATCTTAAGAAAGTTAATAAATCATCCATTAAAGAAAGTTGGTCCAAGAATTGAGGTTAGAGACGCTCAGGACATCCAGTCAGTTGACCGTTTAGGCCAGGAGAGCCGCTGAAGTCTAGAAGCCGTAAGAGGTAGTCAAAGAGGACTGTCCAGATAACACTCAACCGCAACCTAATAATGGAAATTTTTTTTAAGAATCTGACGGATAAAACAACTAGTACAACTAATAGAACTCTAAGGATAAAAAACAAAGAAGAAATTATTATTAATGATATTGAAAACCAAATACAAAATTGGAACATACTTAAAGTTCCAATATCAGATGTCTATAAGAAAGGCACATTCGATTTAAAAATCGGATATGCTATTAAAACAGTAGAAGAGACTCTCTCTGTTACAAGTAATCGAGAAGACTTTCAACTACTATCTCAAAAGATATTACAAGTCCATAAAAACAAAAATTATAAATATTTACATATAGGATTAATTCAAATAGCTGTCAAACCTTTGACTCGTTTAGGACTAAATAATTCTATCCTAGTCTGCTTACGAGATACTAGACATAATAGATTTTCTGATTCACTATTAGGAATGGTCGAATCTAGTTTATGTAGTGGACCAATATATTTCAATTGTTTTCCCAATTATTCTGTATCTCTTACAGATCCAAATATTTTAAATGTTTTATCTTTAAATCTCAAAACTCAAGGATTTAATATGATGTTAGGTTCTCAAAATATAGCCATTGTTTATCGAATTTATTATAAAGTAATGAATACATTATGTCCAAATGTACTTCCAAATAGATACGAGAGGACAAACAATATTTTTTCAAACCAATATGGAAAAATCAAATACAATTATACCAAAAACAATATCATGGTCAGATATTGTTTTACCCCAAACATGGTCTATCCATAATGAAAATCAACCATCACAAATAACTAATCAAAACATTTCAGATAAAACTATTGAATATACAGATGGAAATATCGAAATTCAATTCGCCCCAAAAAATAGAATTACGCTAGATGATGCATCCATCTCAGGAACTTCAAATAATTATTCTTTCTGAGAATCAGAACCAGCAAGAAAGTCTGTTACTACATATAATAGGATCCCTTCTACCATACATATTCCATCAACACCAATAAAACCACAAATTACTGACTTACTAAGGACACCTGATAATATCATTATTACTCAATACAAAGAAGCTCAAGAAGAACTTGTTGAAACAGAGTTCATTCAAGTATTACATTTTGAAGAAACATTTGATAAAGAATATATCATAAATGATTTTTTATCCCTAGAAAATAAAAATATCAGAGAATGGTTTGTCAAAACTTTTGAACCTAGATTAGTGGAATTATCTCACAAAAGATTTAACAAATGGAGAAACAAGGGAAATAAAAGAACATGTTTTTTCGATTGGTTAAAAGACATTTTAAGCCAAAAGGGTATCCCTATTTTTGATTTTGAAATAAATACACTAGAAACCCAATACACAGTATTTAATACTATTGAAGGAAATACAATTAAAGCCATACATCCTCCTGAACAAAGCTTGAAAATACAAGGAGTTGCTACTAAAGCCTCTGCCACAACAGAATTAAATATAGAATCTTCAACTTCGACTTCAACCCAAATGGTTGTATACGAAACCGTCGCAACACCATATAAACTAAATAATGCAAATATAGCTCGTATAGAATTGCTTCCCCATATAATTGAACAAAATAATTATACAAATCTTTACCTTCATACACTTGGTCAAGAAACTAGTAGAATAGAAAACTTATTGCATCCACCTATCTATAAAGAGAAGAAACAATTATTTTTTAAACCTCCTCCTGACTTGAATAAAGAAAAATTCCATATAGGTGATGATAATAAAACACTCATGGATCAATTAATCTCTAAATTATCTAAATTAGAAATCAAAGATCCCAAACAAACCATTATTTTACCAAACAATGATAAAGGAAAAGCAAAAATTCCAGAACATGATAATATGACCCTTCAAGAAGAAATAATATTCCAAACCAATGAAAATATGGAACCACCAATTGCCAACACAATAGAAAATATACAACAGGCATTTTCTGAAATACATATTACTCCAGATACTATAAATCGAATCAACTACAGTAAAAATTGGCAACCAATAAATACCAGACTCTATTATAAGAGATCAACTCCAGTTGATATACAATTAGAAGAAGACCTTACAAGTCATACTTTTACATATACTGGTCGAACTATCATAGATTGGAATATTGATAGAATTTCCGATCATCGAATATTAGATACAATGAAACATATGACCATGTATGCTTCGGCATGTAAAATGGCTGGGAGCCATGATCAAGAAATAGCAAAAGCCATAGTCTCAGGATTTACTGGATGGCTAAGAGGATGATGGAATTCCTATCTCAATGAACAAACAAAACAACAAATATTAACTAATACTCGACAATGGACAGCAAAAAATGAACACAATCAGGATATGGTATATTCTGAAAGTGATGCTGTCAATTCTTTAATCTATACAATTGCCCTTCATTTTATAGGAAGTACTTCAATACTTGCAGCACGAACTGCTGATCTTTTATCTAATTTACGATGTTCTACATTATCACACTACAAATGGTATAAAGACGTCTTTTTCTCTCGATTACTCATACGCGAAGATAGTCATCTTGACCACTGGAAAGAAAAATTCGTAGTAGGATTACCATATCTATTTGCTGAAAAGGTTAAAAAACGTCTAAAAAATAAAAATAGTGGTGTAATCAATTACTCTCAATATACTTTAAGAGAATTATCTTCAGAAATCTGTGCTGAAGGCTTAGCCCTATGTAGCCGCAAGATCTACCCTTAGTAGTTACCATTACTTATCTTAAATATAAAAAGATTACAGAGTTATAAGCTATTAATTGTTGCAGAATAGTAACATAATATAGAAACACAAATAGAATAATTAAAACAGAAAGCCAGGATATATCAAATATGATCCAAGAAGTATGAGTATAGTCACAGATTTTGAATGTAAAGACAAATTTAAATTGCATAACTTACTGATTACATATACAGAGACTTGCAAACTTTTTCCACTCAGAAGGATAGTAGGAAGGTAAGGAAGATAGATTACAATTACACATTCTAAAATAAAGAAGTCGTATGGAAGTTACCGACTTTGGTGATGTACAAATAACTGAATGTAGATGACTAATCTACTGTCTACAGAAAAAGAGAAGAAGAAGAAGAATATGTGAGAGTATATGAGAGCTTGAGTATGCTTCGTTGAGTCCTTGATGCAGTCTGCCTTCTTCATCTGAGAGAGTGGATATTTATAGATGAACGATAAAGGAGTACTTGTGGCTGAGAGAGGATAGCGTAGCGACGAAAGAATGCTTGTGGTTGAGAGAGGATAGCGTAGCGACGAAAAAACTCCAGTGGTGCTGAAAGGATAAGGTGTCCACTGAAGAGATACAGAATAATTGGGAAAACAATTGAAATATATTGGTCCACTACATAAACTAGATTCGACCATTCCTAGTAGTGAATCAGAAAATCTATTATGTCTAGTATCTCGTAAGCAGACTAGGATAGAATTATTTAGTCCTAAACGAGTCAAAGGTTTGACAGCTATTTGAATTAATCCTATATGTAAATATTTATAATTTTTGTTTTTATGGACTTGTAATATCTTTTGAGATAGTAGTTGAAAGTCTTCTTGATTACTTGTAACAGAGAGAGTCTCTTCTACTGTTTTAATAGCATATCCAATTTTTAGATCGAATGTGCCTTTCTTATAGACATCTGATATTGGAACTTTAGGTATGTTCCAATTTTGTATTTGGTTTTCAATATCATTAATAATAATTTCAACCCTGTTTTAGAGATCTAAAAGTTAATACTAGTTCTTTTATCTTAAGAAAGTTAATAAATCATCCATTAAAGAAAGTTGGTCCGAGAATTGAGGTTAGAGACGCTCAGGACACCCAGTCAGTTGACCGTTTAGGCCAGGAGAGCCGCTGAGGTCTAGAAGACGTAAGAGGTAGTCAAAGAGGACTGTCCAGATAACACTCAACCGCAACCTAATAATGGAAAAATTTATTAAGAATCTGACTGATAAAACAACTAGTACAACTAATAGAACTCTAAGGATATATATATATATATATAGGGAAAAGTGAGTAATGACAATCCTCCCACACCCATGTGAGTAGAACCTCAAAGAATTACCATTAAAATTTGACACAGATCTCTAGAAAAGTTATGACATAAGTGTGGGACTTAGTGAATGGATTTATTGATAATTTTTCTAGAGATCTGTGTCAAAATTTAATGGTGGTCCTTTGGGGTCATATCACATAGGTGTGGGAGGGATTTCTAGTATCATTACGATATATATATATATATATATATATATATATATAAAAGAAAATTGTTTCATGCGGGTTGGATCACATTTCTATATATGCAAGCTTGGCCGCATTGAAACTGGGGGTGTATATATATATATATATATATATATATAAAGATTTTCTAAGCTATATGCTCGCAGTCGTCAGATCTTCAATGTGTAGTTCAAAATTTTTATCACTGTTTTAATTTTAATCTTTTTTCTATAAATCAAATTAAGATGAAATTTTTGATGTATATACTTAATACTATTGCGCAACATATAAAAATATAAAATAATTACTTTCAATCATTTAAAATGACCAAATTATCCCTGTCATTTTTCAGGGTTTTTGGTCATTTTATATTTTAGGAAATATTTTGTATATATATTTTTATTGTGTATCCTATTTTTTTAGTACACACATCCAAAATTTTACTTCTAAAAAAAGATTAAAATTCAGATAGCAAAGAGAGAAAACAATATCCTAAATTTACTAGTCCTAACTCTAAGGGACACATTTCTAACTCTAAGGGAGGAAAGATAAAGCAATATCCTAAATCTGCGGTTCCGGAAGAGACAGATATAGAGAAGAGAATAGTACGTGCTAAGGGAAGAGAGATAGTATATATATATATATATATAAATATAAAAGGACAGAGAGAAAGAAAGAGAGGGATAACACATCCAATAGAGATACATTGCTATTTTTTTCCCATTGATATATGTAATTTATCATTGATTATTGATTTTTATTTTTATTGTTTTTGTTTTTATATCACAGTTGATACGATAAGGAGACGAGGTTAAAAAAGAAGGAATCACGAAGTTATTATAAAGTGAAAGGGCTTAGACGTTTTTTAGAGTAGATGAAAACACACAAATTTTTTTCCAAAATTATCTGTCACTATCGTAATAGATTTTTTACCTATCACCGCGTGTAATGAATTTCTTGATTTTAAGATTACCCGACATTATCGTAATAGATTTTTCACCTATCACCGCGCAATGAATTTTTTGATTTTTGAGAAATCTCGTGTAATCTTTTTCCATTTCTTTACGATTAAGTGTATTGAAACAATGGAAATGTCATATTTCTTTGTAATTTATTGTCACGTAATATATTTTCAGGTACCCAAACGGCCTTTTATAAGTAAAAAATGTTAAAGAGTTCACCATGTGCTTTCCAAATACATATCGTATGCATCATATGCCTATCTGAACTATGAGTGGCGATGTGCATGACTATCTGAACTACGAGCTTGTGGCGATGTGCAGGAGGAGGCCTATCTGAACTACGAGCCTGTGGCGATGTGCAGGCGGATTTTCTAGGTCAGGCCTATCTGAACTACGAGCCTGTGGCGATGTGCAAGTGGATTTTCTAGGTCAGGCCTATCTGAACTACTAGCTGCGGATTTTCTAGGTCAGGCCTATCTGAACTACTAGCCTGTGGCGATGTGCAAGTGGATTTTCTAGGCCCTATCTGAACTACTAGGTGCGGATTTTCTAGGTCAGGCGTATCTGAACTACTAGCTGCGGATTTTCTAAGTCAGGCCTATCTGAACTACGAGCCTGTGGCGATGTGCAAGTGGATTTTCTAGTTCAGTCCTATCTGAACTACTAGCTTGTGGCTATGTGCAGGCGGAGGCCTATCTGAACTACTACGAGCCTGTGGGGATGTGTAGACGGATTTTCTAGGTCGTTTGGGTCTTGTGGATGAGTAATGAGTTATGTTTGTGTCTGGTTTCAAAACGCAGACTACCCAACCCTAGGCGGCGACCGCTTAGACGGACGATCGTCCAGGTGGGCAGCCCTATGGACAGCCCTAGCAGTCTCTTAGACGTGCGGCCGCCCAAGGCCTAGGGGCGGTTGCTTAGGTGAGTGGCCCCTAGTCGGCCGCTAACTCAGGTGTCAAGCGCATAAATGACTTATTATTATTATTATTATTTCCTTTTAATTTTTTTTAAATATAAAAGCTTTTTAGATGATTTTTAGGTTTATTTGAAACTTAAATCCACAAAAACTCATTTTAAACATAAAAAAAAATCTCACAAACACTAGATTTTGATCCAAACATCATCCAGATAGATTAGATTTAGTTTTGAAGTTTTTTTAGATTTAGTTTTGAAGTTTTTCAATCCTATTATAGGATGTTTTTTTATTATTTTAGCACTAGAAAACATCTAAGATATGGAAGTTTGGTGTTCAAATCATCAAAGTAAGTGCAAAACTTTATTTGTTAAATTACTTGTTTTATTTCAAGATATCTTTATGGTATTTGGTGAGATTCGGGTTGAAAATTTAGTTATAATTTAATTTTCAAAATTTTCACGTGTTGATTATAATTGCCAATCAAAATTGCCAAATGATGACAAGAACAACAATCAAAATTGCCACTAAAATAACCTCAATGCTTTACCAAATCCTCTATAAAGTCCCTGCAATACCTCAAACCCATCCAAATTTTAGGAGAGAGAGACTCGCAATACCTCAAACCCATCAAAATTTTAGGAGAGAGACTTTCGCTGTCATGAGAGAGTATAGCACTGTTGTATAGAGAGAGACGAAGGAGAGAGGAGAGAGAATTGAGTTGGGTCCCCATTAGAGAGAGAATAATATGTTTTATGGAGAGAGAAAGTCTAATAATGTTGTATGCATCGCGAAAGATGCATGAGAGAGAGTACAGCAAATATTTCATGAGAGACAGTTAGTCAATGTTGAATGAAGAGAGAGAGGCTAATGTTGAATGAAGAGAGAGAGGCTACACTGATGTTAACGAGAGATAATTGACAGGTTCTCATGAGAGGGAGGGCCTACGTCATGTTCGAGGTACAAAACAGTTATAGTGCAGGTAAATGCTATCTTAAGAATAAAAGTCTAACTCCAAGGTACAATTCAATTTCTACCCAGAAAATCAGAGAGGGATTTACTTACGCGGTGGTGAAGCCATCGTCCTTGAGGGACATGAGGCCCTTTATTCCTCACAACGGTTCCCAACAACTAGTTTTCCACCTGCCTAAACATTCATTTACGACCTTTAACGTACATATACACTACTTATAATATCCTCCCTAAAGTATAACACATAAAGGAAAACATATTCTCCTTGACTCCAAAGTTTCCTTCTTAATGCTTTAACTTTTTGCAAAGCTCCCTGATTTTATTCCCTAAAGGCATGGAAAAAAGTGATATTTCTCCATCTACAATGATCGTGAAATCTCTCACATAATTGCGGTAATGATCGTGAAATCTCTTACATAATTGGGGTAAACTGCGAAGGTGTTGACATTTAATGAATATCCGCTTGTTAATTTTGTTATATATATATATATATATTAACAAAATTCAAAATTTTACTGTTAAGAAGAGAAAAAGTCCAAAATTATAACAAAGAAGTTGCATCATATTAGAACACCACCAAAGAATCATAAGTGCTTCATTTTTAGCCAAAACATCCATTAAATTATTTGCCTCCTATAAATATGTTGGAAAGAGACACCAACCCTATCTGCCAATTCTATGATTTATAACCATAAATGCTGCAGTTGCTAAGGAACTCTTTGTTCCCTTAGTGCATGTCAATTTTATTGGGTCTCTCTCTACATATTTACAAAGTTTGGAACGACCCTCGTTTTTTTGTTTTTTTGTTTTTTTTGCTAAAAGCACAATGACGATTTTGTCATCTTCTCATAATCGGGGGGCCCTTCACACTAACATACCTCTCACAATAACAGCATTTTGGCGTAAATTAAAGGATATGCAGTTTCTATAAAGCTTGGGCTTCATGAAAGAAAGTAAAGTCCCACCTTGAATCTTTGTCCTGAAAGCACTTTAGGCCTAAGAAATCATAAATCTTTATGATGGCTCTAAAATCAATATTCAACACCCATTATGAAATTTAATGCTCGAAATATGGTACAAATCTTGTGGATTTGTGAACACTTATTTCTAGGGCAAAATAGATGGTCTAGATAATGTGTTACAATATATACTATTTTGGAGAGCAAAAAAAAGAGTAAACTACATTTGCTTTAGTTGGGAGAGAGAAGAAAACATCTTATAACCATACGTGATTGGCCATTTTGGTAAAGATTGTAATTGTTTTGGCTATTAATACTTATTTCTACATTTTTCCATATTTTTTTGAAAATTTCAAAAATACCCCTACGTACAAATCGGTTCTTTAAAATTAATTTTTTTATTCATTTTCAATCTCATTTGGATGTATTTGTTTCATCATTTTGATAAAGATTGTAATTGTTTTGCCCATTAATACTTATTTTTACATTTTCCCCTCTTTTTATGGAAAATTTCAAAAAATAAGCCCGTGCACAAATCGGCTCTTTAAAATCAACATTTTCATTAATTTTCAACTTTATTTGGATGTTCTTTATTTAATCATACTTGAAATACATATTTTCATATTTTAGTTTTTTATATTGTTTAAAATTTTAAAAATACCCCTCGGAAAAAATTGGTTCTTTAAAGTCTACTTCTTCATTAATTTTTAACTTCATTTGGATGTTCTTTGTTTATTCATTCTTGAAATATATTTTTCATATTTTATGTGATTTTTTTGTATTTATTTTTATATTTTCCCATATTTTTTGGAAAATTTCAAAAATACCCTTGGGCTTCACCTTTTCATTAATTTTTAAATTCATTTGGATATACTTTGTTTCATCATTTTGGCAAAGATTGTAAATTATTTTGGCCATTAATACTTATTTTTACATTTTGCCATCTGTTTTGAGAAATTTCAAATATACCTTTACATACAAATTGGTTCTTTTGAAATCCACTTTTTCATTAATTTTAAATTTTATTTAGATTTAATCATGCTTGGCATATATTTTTTATATTTTATTTAGATTTTTTTGCATTTACTTTTATATTTTCCTTTTTTGAAAAATTTCAAAAATGCCCTTGAGCACAAATCTTCATTAATTTTTTACTTCATTTGGATGTGCTTTATTTAATCATTTTTAAAATATATTTTTCTTTTTTTATTAGATATTTTTTCTATTTTTAACACTTTTGTGACAGCTCGGGGACGTTCTTAGTTTGGCCAGTTGACTTGGTCGGTTTATCGGTTTGGTCAGTTGAACAACTTCTGTCTCCATGTCTATTTAACCGTTCTGGTTTGATTTTTCCTGCACTTCTCTCAACACACCTTTTTAAAGTTTTCATCATTTTGGTGAATATTGGAAATTGTTTGGGCCATTAATACTTATTTTTACATTTTCCTATCGTTTTTTGAAAAATTTCAAAAATACCCCTGGCACAAATCGGTCCTTTAAAATTTGTTTTTCATTAATTTTCAAGTTCAATTGGATGTGCTTTGTTTAATCAAGCTTGAAATATATATTTTTATATTTTATTAGATTTGTTTTGTATTTTTAACACATTTTTTACTGCCCAACACTTGCCCGATTAGAGGCCGGTTGAATTGGTCGGTTTACCTGTTCGGCTAGTGGAATCAATTCCGACCCCATGTTCAGTTAACCGTTCCATTTCGATTTTTCCTGCACTACTCTCAACACACATTTATCTGTGAAAATCCAAAGAGCATAACAATGGACTCATCTTTCAATCTACTCATTTTTCTCTCTTTCTCTATCTAAAACATCATAAGTCTCTAGTATCTAGTGTGTGGGTTCCAAGCTTGGGTGTATATAGCTTTGGAACAACAAAAGAGACCTCTCTGTTTTTTGTACCCCAAGATTTTTTGTACCCCAAGGATGACTTGCCCTTCTTATGCACACCAATTACAATATCGAAGGGGGGCAAACATCGTCTTGAGATAGCGCTAGTGCGTACCCAAAAACAAAAAGGAATCATGCTATATTTTTCTGAAATCGTACTACCTTTCTGCCCCTTTTTATTCACCCAACTATTTTCCAACATAATCGACTTATAAAATCACAATTTCAATGCTCGAGGAGCCTTGGCTGAGGTCTATCCACATGATCGCTTCTAATACTAGGGGAACAATGTATAACGGCATTCAGGATTATGATTCCAATATTAGAATCCTAGTAAAATAGAATTCAAGGATGTCAATTCCAACATTAGGGGCATCCTGGACAAGCAATGACCTTGATTCTCACTAAGGAAACCTGGTTAAGGGCACTCAAGGACCTTCAATCCTTTACTACGGGAACAATGGTTGAGGGCACTACTGACAATTCTCAGTTCATTAACCTACGGAATCCAAATCCTTATTATATGTGACAGTTCTCAGTTCATTAACCTATTATACATGACAGTTCTCAGTTCATTAGCCTATGGAACTCGAATCCTTCATATGTTCCCAACATTCGCAGAACTCACACCCAATCATGGTGGACTTGCGCTCCAAAAAATCCATGTAGTAAGACAACGGTTCCGGGATCATCTAGCATGTCTAGATCATCGTCTCAATCCCAACTATTGTGGTCTCGGAATGAAGTATTCATATGGGATAGGTGCCAAAATTGTCGAACTTAAGCCAAATGCTTCTACACCTTGTCCAATTCAAAATCAATGAGGGGTACTCCTTAACCTTCAACAAGATGATACCTAGCCAGACCCTGATGAAGAGGTAACAGTGGAACTAGTTATTTTGACTGGATTGGTTTTGGAGTTGTGCAACTTTGTTGCTTTTTTAATCCTAGTGGTTTTGGGACGCCTATGGACTCAATAAATTCAATTTCGTTATCATGTTTTTTACTTAGGTTTGTTTTGACCCGTATATGCATCTTTGGAAGTTTTGAATATGGACAAAACAATGTGCATGATCTTTTGTACCTTGTGAAACATAGGATAAGGTTATGTTTTTTTTATCCAGTTATTGAATATTTGCCTAGAATAAATGCATAAATAAAAAAAATACCCATAACATATATATCGAAATAAGCAATAAAAAATACAAAAAAAGAAAAAAGAAAAATCACATTACAATGGTTTGATAAGAAAGCTGGAAAACTTTGCCTCCCCAAGTTTCTAGAAGATCTTGAGAACTTAAAAAATGTATCTTATTATGTGGATTCTTGGTTTCCTTGTATTTCTATAAAAAGGGTCTATACCTTGAACAACAACAGCTCTACAAGATCAGTTTCAAGGCAAAATTATTGTACATTTTCGCCCACAATCCTTAGAAAGAGTTTTTCTATTTTCTTAAACCTCCTCTTTTTTTTGGGGGGAAAATTATCAGAAATATACTTTAATTTTCGTCTAATTGAAAAAAAATATGTTCAGTTTTCATAAACTTCATCCACACCCTTTTTTTCCTTCAATTTTGATATTTTTTTACCAAAATAGCCTTCACAGTAGTTGTATTAATGGATAAGTCATTTATATGGAACTTAAAAAACCGTGATAAAACCAAAGCTTATTAAGGCACTCGAATTACCATAAGATCATTGTGTTTTATAAATCCTCATGAAACTCTTTCCTTCATTACGGTTCTGTTTTTATCGTTTTTGGGGTGGCTCTGTTCTTCTCCTCTGGCTCAAAATTTCTTGAAGCTCAATCTCTCACCGGTCTCTTTCTCCGTCATTTTCCTTATCTCATCAGATTCTACTTTGAGGTAAGAAATCTTTTCCTAAATATTTTTTTTTTATTCAGTATTATGAATTTGAGTCTTTTTTCTCTGATTTGTGGTAAATTTATGGAGTTTTCCATTGTTTCTTGAATTGTTTTGGAATGGGATTTTGGTGCTGGCATTGTTGAAATGAATGCTATCTACTATTTTGAATTGATATGGCTTTGATTAGCAGTTCAATTTGATTTCTTTGTTGATGATTGTCATGCAATGGGGATTAGCGGTTTAGGAACTTGATTTTAGTTTGGGCAGGAAATTAGTTATTGTAGGTTGGATGTTTTGAACCTAGTTTATGTAGCAAATTAGCTATTATTTATGTTTAGTAACAATAACAATAGAAAGAGAAAACATAAACTCAGAATTAGAAATCAGAAACCTAAAAAACTTGACATATTTTATTTAGAAAAAACGAAGAATAAAGATGAGTTTGTTTTTTTTATCAGTCAAGATCACAAGCCAAAACCTCGAAAAGAAAAAAGAAAAAAAAGAGAAAACATAAACTTAGAATCAGAAACCACTTAACTTGAACATATTTGGCTTCCTAGAGCAAGTTATCTGCTTCAATTTATGTTTTCTAGCTTCTTTCAAGAAATTGATGGAGTTATATAACCATTTCTTATTTACAGTTCAAGACAACCATGTATAGAGCCTCTATATAGAGCATGTGTTCATTTAGGTGTTACTTATGATTTCTAGAGTATATTAATATACTTTTATCTATAATTAAGGTTAAGACAAATGTTTTCAAACATATTTTCACAAAGTAGAAAGTTTTTTTTTACCAAACTGCCTTGGGTAAAAAAAATTCTTGTTATAAAATATAATGGACTTGCTTAATGGATTTTTTTTTTCTTTTATTTATTATGGTTGTAAGTGCTTATCATAGATATTAAACATGGATTTTGGATGGATGATTGATGGTTTCATATTGCCGTTTTAAAGTTGTTATTTTATCCCCCTTCTTATGCTGTCTTATTTTCTTTTCTTTTCATACCAACTATGTATTATATTCTTCTCTTTTCATACCAACTTGACCATACACTTTCAAGTTATGTTTTGATTGAAACTGGATGACAATGACTTTTTGAACATGGATCATGGCCAAATGTGTACCTTGCCCCGGAGGTTCTAAGATTCCTATATTGCTCAATAGACAAAGACAACATATATCACAGAAGATCTGGGAAGGAGATGTATGTACACATGTTCCAAATTATATTAGTTGCCTATCATGTTGGTTAATCAATTTATTTATTTTAATATTTGAATAGGGCAACCTAGATCCTTTAGGGGGGCCACTCCAACAGTATACGATAACTAGCACAACTTCCCTCTCGTAGGGTGACAGGAGACCGATAACATGCGGATAAATGATGTTAGTATAAAACAATTTTCATTAACTTTGTTTATTTATATTTTAATGATTTTTTTGTGCAAGTTATTTACTATAATTTTTTTTTTTTTGTCATAGGTCATATGGACCCATACGACAATTTTCCTGATGTAAGAGAGGAAACTGAAGGCAGAGATTATGGTCTTCTTGTTCGGCAGACTGCTTTGTGTCGCACGTACCTCATATATGGACACATTTGTGAGGGATACATGTCAGATCGTATGCTTCGATAGTTTGGACTTCACCAAGGGATACCGGTTGATCCATTGCAGTGGGGAGAGGATGGAGAAAAAGGGGAAGAGGCTTGAGAACTAGGGAGACGAGCTTCAACCTCAGATAGATATGTGGACGAACATGCTAAATTATGTGTGTCAGGCAGCAGATGACATGTTCAATGGGAAGCCGACACAAAAATACATCGAGTGGTACATGCTAAGGATATCGCATTACATATGAATATTAGATTGCAATACAAATGTAATATAAATGTAGATCTAAAACTTATTTATGCAATATTTTAAACAAAAAGTTTACAATAGCCAACTCAACTACATCAAGTACTATAGGAAAAACAATATGATATTTCTTAAAAACTGTTGTCATCCACATCCAAATAAATATAATTATAAGATT